GGCCACATCAACCACATCGGGGGCTCCTTGGACAGGGCTTCCCGGAGCCCCAGGGACCCCCTGGCCCCTGAGAAGGTGCCCCTGTCCTGCAAAAGCATGGCCACACTAAGCCGGCTGCAGAGCCCTGGAGAACCCCCGCCACCCTACGAGTTCACCTACTCACTGGAGGACGCGGTGAAGCAGTTGGAGGACCGGCTGCAGGAGACGGGAGGAGAGCTGCGGCAGCTCAAGAGGAGCCTTAGCGAGACCGAAGACCCTTTCACACAGGTGAGCTGTGGGCCTGGGGCTGTGCTGTGTGCCCCGGGCAGGGGTGTGGGGCAGCGGTGCCTGGGTGGAAGGTGCAGTGGAGGGGCTGGTGTCCTGCCATGGTGGGCAGCGTGGGCAATGGGCTGGGAATGTCCAAGTGTGGGAGGACCCAACATCACAGGACCTTCTGGGATCCCTCCCTGGGGCTGCCCTGCACAGGGGCAGGCTACGGACCCTCACCAGCGACCACCCGTGCTGGCAGGTGTTTGAGGACAAGCAGCGGCTGTGGCTGGATGAGCTGGAGGATCTGAAGCAGATGTACATGGCCCGGCTGCAGCAGGTGACGCAGCAGGCGCAGCGCGGGCAGCGGGCGCTGCAGCTGCAGCTCTACAAGGCGCAGCAGGAGAAGAAGCGGCTGCAGGAGGAGCTGAGCATGCAGCAGTGCCAGTGCGAGGAGCCCAAGCTCCGGCAGCCCCAGGGTGAGCGTGTCAGCCCCAAGCTGGAGGAGACCAAGTGGGAGGTGAGTCCCCTTCCTTCCCTCCCTGTTGCCACCCTCCTGGCCATGGAGCCAGGATGGGGGGGGCAGTGGTTTCCTGCTCTGGTGTCACTTGTGGCCACAGGATGGGAGGGGACGAGCCAGGTGTGGTGCTCGTGGTTTCCCAGGGATGCTGTGTTGACAAGCTAGGGTGCTGCCACCCCTGGGTTCCTGCTCCCTCAGCCCTTCCTGACAGCTTCCCTGTGCCCTGCAGGTGTGCCAGAAGGCAGCGGAGATCTCCCTGCTGAAGCAGCAGCTCCGGGACACCCAGGAGGAGATGGCTCAGAAGCTGGGTGAGATCTTCAGCCTGAAGACGCAGCTGCGGGAGGCCAAGGCGGAGGTCCAGGCCAGGGACTCCCAGCTAGCACAACTGGCAGACTCCTTCCAGAGCTCCCCGGAGCCCAGCACCTCGCTGCCGCTGGGTGATGACCCCATGCCAGCATGCCAGGACTTCCCCGGCTGCGAAACTGATGACTCCAAGTGCCGGGGCCTTCACAGAGATTGCCCCTGGAGCGGCAGGTGGAGTGGCTGTGGGCAGAGCTGCTGCGGGAGCGGCGCCAGGGCCAGCTGCAGGCTGTGAACTTTGAGCTGGAGAGGAAAACCTGGCAGGAGGAGAAGGAGAAGGTGCTGCGGTACCAGCGGGAGCTCCAGGCCAGCTACATGGAGATGTACCACCGGAGCCAGGCACTGGAGCGGGAGCTGCGGCAGCTGCGGTCAGAGCCCAGGGATGTTGGGGCTGACTCGCCGTGGATCGAGCGGGTGGAGTCCTCGAAGATCTGAGGGGCATTTTTTGGGGAAGGTCTCTTGCTGCTGCAATGGATGATCTCAGGGTCTGCACAAGGACTGGCCTCTCAGCACTGCCCTGGGGTGAAGGACTGATTGCAACAAGGGAGCTTTTCCTTCTTGCAGCGCTTCAGACCCTTCTGGGGGGGTCTCTGGGTCATCTGTGCCAGAGCGGGGATCTTGCATGTGCCCCGTGCTCTGACTCCAGGAGTGTTTGCCCTGTGATTCCTTCTGCCATGGGGGCAGAAACCAAGCACTCTGTGAGACATTCCTTGTCCCCTCCTGCTCTGCCACCCCTGTTCCCTACAACTCATAACTTAATGTCTTGCTAAGG